TCCGAACAGTATAACCTATAACATGTAGTGTATTTCATTATGAATATTTTAGGCGGGACTATAATTTATGAACGAACCAGTCAGGTATAAGATCATGAACCGATTGATGTTAGACCACCACAATTGAAAACCTGGAAGCACTGGACGGCCGTTTCGTCCTATTGTGGGACTCCTCAGCAGTGCGCATCCACGATCCCGCTCGCGGGATTCGAACCCAGGGCCTTCCAGGTTTTCAATTGTGGTGGTCTAACATCAATCGGTTCATGATCTCAATCAAAAACTTGATAATCTCCACAACCCCTATACTGGTAGTCAGGTATAAGATAATAGACTTTGAATTTCGGCGCGAAATTCTTTGTCCATTTGGTTAAATAGCGTCTTGGTATGTTAGCTGATGTCCTTTACCATCTACCACAAATCCCAATACTTATCCTTCTTACAGGTTGAAAACCCGCATTTAGCCCTAATCAGTAGGTGAACAATGTCAAGGCCACTTTAGCATCGCTGAAAAGTCATCCATAAATTACAGTCTTACCATATTTTTAGAAAAAAAGACGATTGCAGATTACCAATGAAGTAAATCTCTGCAATCAAAGTTAGTTTTAATCAGTTCATTATTGATTAGTAACCAATTTACCGTCTCATCGTGAACTATATACAGTCAGTCGGTTAGTCAATAACAACGTAGAACTTCGTACGTACGTACATCAGTTCGTGTTGCCATACCACATTAGCACAGAGATGCATTCGTCGATTCAAATCCCACAGTGGTAGAGGTAAGAGTAAGAGTATAAGCAGTAATCCGAAAGATTGGGGTTTGAAGATGTTATTTAAAGAGTATAATCCAGTGAAACAAATTTGGAAAGAGAAACAAAGAGACAAGGAGGATTCACGAAATTAGAATTTGGGAGAACACAATCAGTGTATGCACCTGTGCCATTGCAAACGATTTTGAGCCATGTCAGTGACTGAATATATCTATCTCTATCCATATTAACACAAAACATATATTGTTTGTTGATAAGTTTAGTTTGGAAACACATTTTTTAACTATTTATCTTATTCTAATATACCCTAGAAACAGTCTACATTAAGTTTGCACGTCACATTTTGAAGGTTGATACTCACATGTCGCCTCAAAGATCATAATGTTTTAATATTCTATTTAAATGAAGGATTTACTCAAGCATCCTTAAATTGATAATGATATACCAAAGTTGAAGACTTTAATACTGTTTTATGTCATTTTAAACAAATAGATAGACTGCGAATTAGAGCTGTCGACTTATATAACCAAACTAATAACGTATAAATCTCTATAAATAACCTAGAGTTCTTATTGATCCTCTCCTAATCCAACCAAATCAGTTCAGAACGATAATGTCAGTCTTTGCAATATCAATCATATCATTCAGACATACTGGATTTATAAGCAAAGATGGACAGTGGCTAGCAGTGGAATCCAGGACGCGCGTTTCGTCCTGTTTGGGACTCGTCAGCTGGATGTACCTGCATCTCAGAGTTGATGTTCACTCTGGGACTCGAACTCAGTACCGTTCGCTTCAAACGCCATCGCGTTATCCACTTCGCTACTGAGTCCTGATAGCCACTTGCTTGTGCAATGGGTTGAAGTTGAATTCACTTGATATTGTTTTATTTTGAATCTTCCGATTGCACAAGCAAGTGGCTATCAGGACTCAGTAGCTAAGTGGATAACGCGATGGCGTTTGAAGCGAACGGTACTGAGTTCGAGTCCCAGAGTGAACATCAACTCTGAGATGCAGGTACATCCAGCTGACGAGTCCCAAACAGGACGAAACGCGCGTCCTGGATTCCACTGCTAGCCACTATCCATCTTTGCTTACAATGCTTGTAAATTAAGGCAATATCGAGGCATACGCACAGTATGCACATATGCCAATAACAGACTGATCAATTTCAGTCCAAAAACATCAATGGGAAGATTCAACTAAAACAATATCAAGTGAATACTAGATTTATAGTACAAACAAACCAGATTGCATAATACCATCAAGAGAATATATACAACACACAAATCATTTGATTTATATGTAGGCTATGATACTATTCGGTTGTTTAACTTGAATCAAGTAGTTTTCTTAAGGGAGCTACACTCCTAACCTTCGACGTAAAGGTCTAATCCACAAAGCAGTTGAACATCGTAGATGATTCAATGCTATGGTAGTTGATAACAAACAATTAGTTATATATAGATCATTTATTCTATCATGATTACAAATGGTATGATGGATTCATTGTGAAAGATTAAATTTTCAATGGTATTATTAAATCAATATTAAATTGTGATATCTACCACTTATGAGTATCTAAACTATTTACAATAACTTATATACTACTTATAAGTAAATAAATAAAAATGTAAACACACTTCAATCTAATTAGTTCAATATAATTGTGTTTGTTTGTTTGCTTGTTGTTGTTGTTGCTGTTGTTGATGATGCTGCTGCTGCTGCTGCTGATGATGATGATGATGCTGATTACTTTGTTGTTCTGAATAAGTAAGTGTATAACAATTCTAAATAGTATAAACTTCAATCATTTATCACAGAAGCATAAATATATCACAATAGATTGATAATAATTGTATAGAGTTTGTGATTCCCTATCAACTATTGAATGGGATTAATTAAAGGTTTCTGTTAATATGTATTCTGTATGATAGTTGATTGGAACTTGGTGACTTATTTGAATATTTGGGCTACTGTGGTGTGTACTACTTATATTGATATAAGTAGTATATGACACAAGTTTAAAGCGTAATGTCTGACAGCATAAGATGGGGAAAGATCAAGAAAGGAAGAGCAAAAACACAATGCAATTTGTACGAAAACGCATGAACAATGAAATGTGAGACCATGAATTGATGTTTGCAACAGGAACAGTCCAGGTTGATATGATGGTTTGATCATTTGCAAATTAACGATTTTTTATATGGTTACATTCGATTGTCCCCACCGTTGTTCTGCTCACTACACTAGTTGTTCTTGTCATTTAAATATTTCAACAAGTGATCTGTTTATTTGTTTGTTTTAATACATTAACATGGCTATTAATCGTATAACCTATTCAAGTGAGTTTATGAAAAGTGTACAACCTTTTGTTGTACAAGTTTAGAAGAAAAGGCTAGTCAGAGACATCATGGTTGCTGGTAATATGCAGTGAAAAGAATGTACATCATTCAGATGTTGATTCCTAAACTGCTTACCTCTAACTGGTGACCAGTTATTATTTATCGTCAAGATTGATCAAGAACTAAGGAACGGAAACTTGTTGAAATACTTTGTACTGAGAATTTTATATTGTACCGAGAATAAAATACTGAATAAAACTACTAATATTAATAACAGTCAACCCTGAACTGTCATAATTTTTTAAATGCTACACCTTACGACTGAGTCAAAGATGAATAAAAAGCTTTACTCATGTTCTTTTAGTGGATAATTCCCATCAAAAACTGATACAAAATTAATGCTACAAACTTTGTCTATTGAGTGACGTCAAGGCAGTTTTACAAATTCAGATTTGGATCGGTCCAGTTTAGGATTCCCTCATGTGGTTGATTTAACAGTTGATAGTGTACTGAACATTGTTAAATGAATGTATGTCGTCGATTAATCCAAGATGTACAATGTAACTTGAAACTAACTTATCACTGATCAATCCACCTTTGTAGTCTTATGAAGCATTTTAGTGGCCCGTGGATCTGAATCCAATTAGATCCTATGAATGTTTGTTATCGCCTGTCCTCGTATATAATGATCGATGAGGAGTCCTATGCTAGAATAAAATGGTCGTCCAGTACTTCAAGGTTTTCAATGACGATATAATGTTGATCGTTTCATCTTCTCAATCAAAACTCAACAATCTCCACAATTTTATACTGATAAAAAGAAGTGTCAATGCATATTCATTCATCTTCTAGTACTTGTTTTCAGTGGGCATTCAGTCATTTGTTGAAGGAAACAATAACTTATTTGCACTGATCTAAGCATGTTTCACCATGTGTAGGAAACAGTTCAGGATTGATAATACACATATTTTTGTTGTATCTCAATGAGTAGAATAATTGTATTTCTGATGTGTTGTGACGTAATGTAATCTACTTCATCAGAGTAAATATATAACCGAAATTTACTCTGAAGAATAGGCTTATATTAAGTTACGAAACGTAAAAAATACAAATTTTCTACTTATTATTAACTCCCCACCTATTACACAATTTATTTGAAACTATCAAGTCTAACCTTGGTAATGGATGCAGTGAACGAGAACACAATTGGAGACATTCGAATGTATTTGAGCACAACGTTATATAATCTCTTCATGAAATCTGTGAATCACACAGTAAATTGTTCGTTTGCAAAATGTTAATCAATTGTCTCAGATTTGATTGTTCCATCGTTTTCACACCAATCATTCACTTTTCCTTAATCTTCTTAACTTTTTTCCACCAAACATTTCATTTTCGATTAATGATACATACTACTTATATCTATTAACATCAATAGCTGTCCAGGACAGGGTTGCATAGAGAATGCTGGTGAGCGGCCTATGCTCCTTGGAGAGGAGTAACAGGCATAAGTAAATAAGTACATCAACAGCACATATCCAATTGATACCAATTTAAGTCCGGGTAAAGGAGGACGGTTGGGCATGGGGTTTATGTCCCAATCCCGTAGAAAACTAACTCGCTAAAAAAACGCTTATCAGAAAAAAAATCAAACCATTTTAACTCTGCCCTGGGAGTTAGAAGGTCTTCATTTAGAAGAATTATGACACTTCATGGTGAAAGCCGAGTTCTTTCGGAAGCCACGAGGCCGATGCCCCTTTTAACAACCAGAGCAAAAAGTTTTGTAGGTACATACGTGAGCGGCCTATGTTCCTTCACGAGGAGTAACAGACGTAAGTAAGTAAGTAAGTAAGCATACTATATTACAAATGTATAAATTAATACTTACCAATATCTAAACTTTGTAAACGTAATTTTTTCATTTCTATTTCTTGATTACATTTAATCATATTGAAATACCATGATATCAGATAAAGGATCCACATAATGAATAGCAATAATAATCTTATTCAATACATATATAACAATTTATTCCTAATATATGAATAGAATATTATCTCTTTGAATATAACAGATACATTTTAATTCACTTCTGTCTGTCTGTCTGTCTCTCTATCTGTCCATCTGTCTGTCTGTCTGTCTATCTACAATGTTTTGTTTCATTTTTGTTACTATGTAATAGATGGATTATGTAAACTGATGAAATCACTCCTCGTTTCATCAACAATAAGAGTACTAGTAGTGTTAGTAGTGTTAGTAGTAGTAGTAGTAGTGATATTATTAGTAGTAATATTAGTAGTATTATTAGTAGTATCAATTAGATGATAATTAATAATAAGATAACCTTTTAATAATAATTCATTAATGATAAACTAATAAAATTTAAACAAAACTCTGATTGGTTAATTTTGAATAGAGAAACAAAAACAAAAACAACAACAACAACAGCAACAAGAAAAAAAACAAAAAGAAGAAAAAGAAGAAAAAAAGGAAATAACCATAGTCTATACAAAATAGAAAAGAGTCTGGAAAAGAAAATGATCAAAACAATAATTTCTGTAATCATAAAGAAGATAATGAATGACAAGAAGATGTTTCGGTTTGTTCTTTTTTTTTCTTGTGTGTGTTTTTTCTCTACTCTTTTTTTTCTCTATTTTTTTGTTCTTTTCATTATCTCATAATATCAGTAACTATGGATGATGATGATGATGATGATGATGATGAAGGGGGGTCAATGATTCTTTCAACTGGAAAATTCATTATTTATTAATTAATTTGATTACATTTTACAGGTAATATGATACAAGTCAATGATTTGCTTTAGCCTACTGTTTATTATTCTTATTATTATAGTCAATCGAAATAGAATGAACAACAATGAAGAAATGATGTTCACAATTGAATGAATTAAAAAAGAAACATTTTATGATTAGAAAATTAAGGTTATTGTTATATTGTATTTGTCAGTTATAATAATAAGTAGCTATCTGTCAATGAATATCAAAGTGAGAAACTTCATTATGAACATGAAGAGAATTAGTTCTATTGTATGGAGCTGAAACTTTGAGAACTACCATCACAACTATCATCAAGAAGATACAAGTATATATGAACAATTACCTCAGTGAGATATTGAATGTCTGTTGGCCGGACACTATGGAGAAAAGACTAATGTAAGAAAGGATAAACCAGATTCTAGCTGAAGAAGGAATTACAAAAAAAACGTTGAAAATAGATAGGACATACATTAAGAAAATTACTAAATTGCATCAAAAGACAAGCACTAACTTGTAATCCTGAATAGGGACGAAAAAGCGGAAGACCAAACAACACACTACGTTGAGAATTAAAAACAGACATGAAAAGGATGAATAGCAACTGTAACCAACCGGAAAGGATTACTAGTATAGGGGTTGTGGAGGTTATTAAGTTTTTGATTGAGATCATGAACCGATTGATATTAGACCACCTTTGGAAGCCTTGAAGCACTGAATGACCGTTTCGCGAGAACGAAGGCCCTGGGTTCGAATCCTGCGAGCTGGACCGTGGATGCGCTCTGTTGAGGAGTCCCACAGTAGGACGAAACGGAAAGGATTGCCCAGAATAGAGTTGGATGATGAATGCTGGTGAGAGGCCTATACTTCTGCATGAGATGTAACAGGTGCAATTAAGTAAGTAAGAAAGATTTGATGTCACAATTTTCGGTCATAAAATTGAACAGTAAACATTTTAAGAATAATGAGTAAAAACATTTATTACTTTATTTGTTAATATGTATAGTACCTTTGAAATAGATGAAATGAATTAGACGTCATGTTTGACTGTTAACAAGGTATGCTGATTATTTCCTAGTGCAATGTATAGAATTAATTACATTTGTTAGTACAAATATTCCTATCGATTTCAATTCTTTCGTTGTTACACCGATTTACACTGTATAATTAAAATAATTCATTGTGTCATTCAGTAAATTCAGTTGGTATTGTTTGCTTGTTTGAATCTGATGTTTGAATTGATGTTTAGAACTGTAATTGACCAGTCTCTTACTGATATATGTGTATCCTGTGTGTATTGCCTCGATATTGCCATAATTCCCAAGCATTATAAACAAAGATGGATAGTGGCTAGCAGTGGAATCCAGTTTGATGCGCTTTTCATTCTATTTGGGACTCGTCAGATTGTTGATATTCACTCTTGGACTTGAATTCAGTACCATTCACTTCAAATGCTATCGCGTTATCTACTTAGCTATTGAGTCCTGATAGCCAGTTACTTATGTAATGGGATAAAGTTTGAATTCACTTCCTATTGTTTGTTTTTTGAATCTTCAGCAAAGAATATTTTCTCATTTCAACAAAATCATTTATTTAAGTTCTACATTCCCAATTATAGTTACATAGGGCAGATTACATTGATCGTAAAAAGTGATCACTTACCAAACACGTCTCAGAACAGTACCTGAACATATTACTCCATCAGAGTCTTCTTTCAAAAAAATGTAGTGACCTACTTTCATCAAGAGAACGCGATTGGTTTAATGGGAACAATTATTATTATAACAAATTGTACCAGTGGTTGTTTTACTGTACTTGTTTGTTTGACTGCACAAAAGACATTCATTCTTCCGTTGATTGTGACCTTGCACGAACTTACGTTTGCTCAGTAGTTCCGCTTGTACTCCTTTGGCACAATCTCGGTATTATTTTAATACCAAGAGATCGCCAACACATAAATCTCGACTACAGCCATCAACTGCCTCCTGATATTCGGCCTACTGGGGATCTTATCGGTTAATTGGCACGTAGTTTTGCTGTAGTGGTGATCATAGTCACACTACAAGAAAATAATCTACACAGAGGAATTGAATCAAAATGAAAGTTGAATCAAAGTCTTATACCCTGATTGCTGAGACATTGGCAATTCACCAGTTTCGTTTTTACTTTTTATATTAATTAATATTTTGTCATTTTCAACTGTAATCAGTTAGTGTTGTTGCCCTTTAAACAAGTTTACTTGATTATTATCCACTTGTTATTATTATAATTATGACTACCTCCAACCACCATCTAATCTCAATATATAGTGCACGCAGTGTCAAGGCAATTAGACTGGTGGCCACATTGCAACATGGTCGATAGGATTTGTTCTGCACTAAATAAGGACTTGACACACATGACATTAATCACCACCCAGTGATCAATCATTTGTGATTACATCTCAGTCCTACAGGAGGTCGGTCGCGACTCAGATAGCTCAATGGTAACGTCTCCGACTGTGAAGCTGGGTGACACGGGATCGAATCAGTCAGGGAGCATCAGTTCCCTCAAAATTACAGGTACACCTTGCTGACGAGTGCCAAATAGCACGAAACCCGTGTCCACGGTGTCCTGTTCACTACCTCCAACCACCATCTAAATCTCAATACATAGTGCCCGCAGTGTCGAGTCACCTAGACTGTTGGCCACATTGCAACATGATCGATAGCATTCGATCTGCACTAATAAGGACTAGACAAGCATGACATTGATCACCACCCAGTGATCAATCAGTTGTTATTATGACCTTTATTTTTGTTGTTTTTCTTCAACTCTGTCAATTGGACAATTATCTTTCATAATTCAGACCCGTAAATTATTTTCATTCTTCTATACTTCTCTTACACTTTGATTATTGCATAACCTCATTTCATAATTAAGGGTATCGGATCAATTTGTGATGCAATCTTTTCTATCCTTCTATAGACATATATTTAATGTGAGAGGGGGGATTTTGTGAAGATTTTAGTAATTTAATAATGAAATTCATGAGTCAATTAAAACTAGATCACTGCTGAGTAATCCTATACTAGGATGAAACGGGCCGTTCAATACTTCCATGTTTTCCATGGTGGTTGTTATAACCCAGTGAAGATTAAATTACAGGTAACTCCCGAGGCCTATTAATGGACTAATATTATCTATATATTCTTATGGTATAACTATTGAATAATTAGATTATGTATATTTATATTCCTCTTATTACAAGCTTTATTTTGATCTATAATTTATTATTATACGATTTACGGTTCTTAAGTTATGCTCAGTCTATTATTCATTATCCCCCTCGTTCACAGCCACTTTTTGGCTTATTTGTGTACACATGTTATTTTCTATTTTATGGTACGTTGTGGTCTGTCTGATTGATATATAAACCGAATATGTCTGAAATAAACGATCTGCTCTGATTCGATTCATATTACGGAAGCTGGTATCGTGTTCTGGACTCAAGTGGAAGGGCTCGGAGGACATAGGACCAATAAGGACGCTAAACTGCCCACACCGGTTGAAAGTCATTGATTGGCCTAGTGTGAAGATTCGTATAAGTCGTATTCGGATTGGTAGATAATTCGTGTGATAGAAAAACCAGACGCCAAGGTCATAACAGTGGTTCTAGCTTTAATTGACTCATGAATTAAACACATAAATTTTGCACAATAAATATAAATACAAATGTACAGCTTAAGTAAATAATTTCGACTTGAAGATGTTATGCCCTGATAAGAATAATGAATGGTAACTTTTGAGATCTATTTATGGACCAATACTATGAGTATATTTTTATCGTATAATTGTTATGTAACTAAACTGTTCATATTCATATCCCTATTATTATAAGCCTTATTTTGACCCATAAACTATTATTATACGTTTTACCATTCATGGATTATTCCCTGTCTGTTAATCGCTACCTCCCTCATTCACACCCACATCTGGCTAATTCTTGTACAAATGTTATGTCCTATTTTATGGTACGATATGGTCTGTTTGATTGGTATATAAGCTCACTATGTTTGAAATATAACGATTCATATTGCAGAGGCTGAGACTGGTGTTCTGGACTTAACTGGCTGGACTAGGCGGAAAGCAGGACTAATCAAGACTCTAGACTGCTCGCACGTGTTTTACGCGTC